GGCGTGTATAGAGTGTCCCATGCTATCTACTGCTGTAGCTAGCCCGACTCTCTGCGAGCTACTAGGAGCAAACGCATACTAAAAGTCCAGCCCATCGATTAGCGGTACCGCGCATGCGCAGTTCGCCGAGAGTTTGCACTGTAGTGCTTTTCAGATTATGTAATTGTCAATACGTGTAATGAATCAATGGTGAGCTACATATACATATACATTTCATCATTGTGAACACGTGCAATTCATTTTCCTACTGCTTATTGATAAAGTTTTGTTTTGTGTACATTGTAATAATAATTATATGCAGCTCTTACAAATATTACAAAACTCACTACAACACACTAATCTATGGTACAAAGTATAAAAATTATAGTACAGTACATTAAGAGTGCAGGTTATAACTTCGTTGTTTGTCCCAAAATGTGCTGTGCAGTGGGCATTAGTTATTTCTCAAGGAAGTCCAGAACAGGCTCTCTCAGTTGAGAGGGTGAAGGCTGCCGTGACTGGCCACTGTCTGGAGCTGCCGTCATGTCCTGTAGAGATATCACGGTTGATGCTGTAAAGGGCTCCGAGGGCCCAGAAACGTACCGAACACTCTGCAACACTTCAGTATCTCCAATGTCACGAGCGCAACTATCCTCTTCTTTCCTCTTGATCACTGTCTCTTTCTTGATTCTCAGCTTCAGATACAGAAAGATACTAGAAACACTGACAAAGATCTGGTCGGTCTTGTTCCTGATCCTCTCATTGTTACGCAGCCGCTTCAGCAAGTGCCAGAGAACGATCCCAATGAAAGTGATGAAGGTGATGCTCACAGATGCATTGACTAAATTTTCCTGATCAGAGAACCTCTTAGCATTTTGGATGGTGTATGAAGCTCCAAGTGTCAGAGCAATGAGGTTGAGAAAGAAGGACATATCCACAAGTGCCACTCCAGCGTCTTTGAATGGGCTAATGTAGGTCTGGATGATGGCAAATCCTACAAGAAGACTGAGTTCGAGAGTTAGGGTCAAGTTTGGGTTGTTCGTGCCACGGTTGGCAATGATGATGTAGACAATAGAGGTAAGAATCAGTCGCGCTCCAAACCAGAATCGCAGCTCTTCCTTGTATGGTGCAAGACTTGCATCAACATAGGCATTGAGTCGAGTGGATCTCACCCACCGCTGGATGTAGGTGGAGAAGGTGAAGAAAAACACATAGGGCAGAATGAAGCCGGCCATGGTGATAGAGCCAAGGAGAATAAGGAACACTGAGGTGGGGTTGCTGGCCTCCAGAGTTCCGTCAAAGAACCAGATAACACTTTTCTCTTTTTCATTTTCAGAGACAATGCTGACAAATGTGAAAGTGTCTATGACAGTACGGAACAGCTTGAGGAAGGAGATGTAGAACATGGTCACGAGCATGTGAATTCCGTCAAGTTGGGAGAAGGTTCGTTGCATAAGTTGCAAGCGTTGACTAAATACAACGATACTGGCTATCATGAGAATGATGTAAATCGGAAACACATATTGTAGACCAAGCTTTGCTGGCTCTGTCATGCCGTTGTAGAAACACATTGGAAAACCCAGAGTCTGTGTTAGTCCACGACAAGAACCAGAAGATAAACCCATTCTTGTTGCCTCGGAAGAAGATGTTAGAATTGACCATCACAATGTAGGAGTAGAAGAAGAGACCATTGATGAGTCCATGTGTGATAGTGAGATCAAGGAGAAGACCGACGACTACACTAAGAACTCCAATGAGTGCAAAGAAGAGAAGGAGGGAAAGCCATACATTTGAGCATTTGCGGCAATCAGCTGTGCCAAAGACAGAACTGAGACCTTCCTTGCAGGCACCACAGAGAGTGCCTGTCCGACCCTCTGCACAGATGTGGTCAGCCACTCTCAGGTCAACGTGAGTCAGCTCTCTCCTGCAGTAGTCCGTGGGACAGGTTGTTACAAACTGGATGATGTGACGGCCACTATCCTCCCTCTTGGTTCCTACCCAGTAGTTTATAGGTCTAGCTACCGTGTAGTTAGTAAAGCTGCACGTTGACCCAAGTCTTGTTATGATAAACTCGCTGCACTGGCATAATAGTCTACTACTGCCATCATTGGAGCCCAGTGCATAACCAGGGGGGCAAAAGGAGGTGTTTAGTGCAACAGTTGCCTTTTCCTTACCTAAAGTAGCAAACAGATCGATGTACACTGTAACATCCTCAGGGCCAAAAATTGTGAACTGCACAGGGCTGCATTTGCTGATTAGTCCAGAGAGTGGTCGTATGTCTTGGTGGGAATCAAGACTTACTCCAATGGAGGAGTTGGTGACTCGAGGGAAGGAGTAGAGGAGAGAGGCCACAGGGGCTCCTACAACATCTACAGGATTGAGGAACACGACAAATGTATCTCCTGGGATGACAGAGTGATTCAGTGCATGAAAGAGGGCACAGAATCTACTTGAGAATGTTCCATTCAGACATATACATATAGACTCTTCAATGGAGTTCAGCTCAGAGAGATTGTTCCCGACAATGTTTTGGAAATCAAACACTTCTTCATAGAAAATCGCCTGGTTAATAGCACGCAGTATGTGGGAGATATATTCTATGGAGGTGATGGGAAAGAACTGACAGTAGTATAGTGGATTTCCGTAGACTGAATTGCCAGCAACTTCAGCGCTATTGTTAGAGAAGACTAATGAGAGGTCTAGCGAGTTTAGCTCCTCATTTAGAATGTTGATTTGCTTATCAACAAAGAACTGTATAGCACAGGCATCGGTGACGGATGATCCTAGAGTGTTTATATAAATGGCACCACCTTCTCGAAACGCAGTGTTTCTGGTGAAGCTGATATAGGAGTTGTTGTGGACAAACAAGATAGAGCTGTCTACCAAGTTTAGAGCACCACCTCTGAAACCGTGATTATCCTCAAAGGTGATTCGGCCACGGAGCACTACATTTGTTGCCACTGTAAAGAGCACGCTCACACTGTTATTGTGAAAGAGGCAGCCCCTTCCGTCCACTGTTCCGACAATTGTTACATTGGAGACTTGTCTGATTATAAACACTCCAGCATTCTCTGGAGAATTCTCTGAGACTTCTGCTCCAGGGAAGGTATTGCCTGAAGCCAATACATCCTCTAAATAAATGTAGATTTCTTTGTTATTGATCAAAGACTTAAACTTAAAGACGTACAGAGCTGGTCCTATTTCAGCAACATTGTCTGTAAAGATTGTGTCTCTGACAACTAGTCGAGCATCAGACACATTCTGAGGTGTCATAAACAATAAAATACTTCCCCCAATGTAGGCCCTGTTGCGACTGAAGAGGGAGTGATTTATCTCAACGAGATCATAGATGTCTTCCTCGTATTGTGAGAAGGAGCTAAGCAAGTCCAAGAAAAGTGCTCCTACAATGAGTATTCCTGCGCCTCTCCCTGTATTCCCTACTACAATATTGTCACTAACAACAACTCCATCCAGCTGAGTTTTGCTCGTACGGATTGTATTGTAGTTTACCACAATGAAATTGGCCAGGTTTCCTGTGTTTGAAACTATCGTGGTATTGATGATTGTGGCATTAACAAAGTAGTTCCTCTGTCCCATATACACAGCCAAAGAGAAACCCCCTGTCAAAAGTATGGGTTTTGTCAAATAACCACCAGTTACTGTGTGGAGAAGATCGAGGAGAGGGTCGGTGGGTAGCATGTTGGTGTTGTTGAAAAACGAGCACGTAACTATTGAGAGAAAGGCAGCAGCATAGTTATCATATTCAACCAGCCTTTGTGTAATGTCTGTATCACTGAAGATGAATACAACACCGCTACCTGAGCACAACATGTCACTCCTCTTCAAAAGGTGTGTACATCCACTGAGACTCTTGCTGTTGGTTCCAGATACTGATAAGTTTTGAATCGTAGTGTGCCACAGTGGGTTAATGAACAGCATACCAAATCCAAAGCACCTGTCAATGCTAACATTCTCGACTGCTATTTTAGTTGAGTGAGTAATTATCACAACTGCCTTCTGCAGTGGACCAAGATATGCAAAGGTACTGTTAACGTGACCAGGTAATCCACTGGGTACCTCCCTACCACAATTGATAATTTGGAGGTGGGAGAGACGAAGGCTGGATATATTGAAGAAGGCAATGCCTCGTCTCAACTTTCTTTCGCTCTGACAGTAGATTACAGTCCTGGGCTGGGTCTGCTGGCCTTGGATCGTGATATTCTCAAGATTCTGGAGGAGACAGAAGGAATCTTCCTTGAGGTGGTGAACACCTCCTGAAAGCTGGAGGACAGTGTCTGAGACCAGTTCCCTGGTCCCCAGACCACACAGATGGTGCTGAAGACTGGTATTAGAGTCTGGTGCTGCGCTAGCATCTATCCTCAGCAGAGTTTCTGTGTTTTTTGTGACAAGCAGTGCTGGTGAGAGCAGGAAGGAAAGGATTAAAAGTGGAGTTTTGAACATTGCTCTTTGCTTCACAATTGTGTCACTGTTAGGCTGAAATCCTGAGTATAAAGGATGAGGAGAAGAGAAGATGATAATATTATATAATAATAGTGACAGACTGATAGTTAAAAATTATTTTTGTTCCTTGACATTGCCTTGAAAGGTAATGTGTCCCTTGGTTCAGGCAACAGTGTAATATATTTCTAAACTGTTACAATAATATATTCCCTTAATAGGATTACTGCTTGCCCATTCAAGGTCTGTACTTCTGACAACATGAAATTGTTTAAATACACAATAACTCCCTTGCCTGCACTTCTGACAACATGCAATTGTTTCAATACACAATAACTCCCATGCGGCTTAGCTATACTGGTCAAAACACAATTATGACTAATGGAAACTCTGTTGACATTTGGCCATATTACAGTAGTCAAATAGCTAATCTTGAGTATAGAAGGAAGTTCATTTACTGTTCGCATAAAGCGCGCGTCTCTGCAACCTGCGCAAGTATTTTACCGCTGCGGCAGCGTCGGCTTGGTATCCTCGTTATCCTCGTTTGAACCATGATTGAAGACGTTGTCAAGGTTTGTGCCAAGAGGCAAAACTAAATTGGCTCACCTGCAAACCGAAATGAGGATAAACAGCTGGCGACTAATCAGCTTCACACACTGCTGCAGTGCACATTTCGACGCGATAAAACTTAGAGCGGAAGCGAATCACGAGACGGTATGTTCGTGTAATACGGAAGTATGGAATGGCCCCTCCCGGCTACCGTAGATATGCCACGAGGTATATACATCCTAGCCCACCACCTGCACCTCAGAAGCGGCTCAGACACCGCGGGTTCAGCAGTACAGACTCGTCTGTTGTGTTGTGATAGTTAGCGCCCGGTTTTTCTACTTCTACCTACTCCAGCCCTTTGCGTTTTCTGGCCGCAACGCCTGCAAGACTCCAATTGTTTCGTCCACTTCGCTTCCTCCTGATTCGCCTATATCCTCCTGAGCTTTTCCTCCTATAAGTTCATCTCGCCTAAGAATGGCTTCAACAATCCCTCCGTGTTTTTGGTTTCGATTTACAGGGAGTTGGCAAAGCGGAATAGTAAGCTATACCAGTGAAGCAGTAAGTTGCTATGGCTCTTGAGATCCGTGCGCCGCTAACCTGAAGGATCTATGGATTGTTCTGGCGTACACTTCTCTATCCGGCAATACACATACCTACGCGCTTCAACGCGGAAAATACTGCACTGCATATAACAGTCTTTCGCGCCCAGACAATGGCGAAAGATGAACTACGTGAGGGTCTGGGAACGAGACTATACGCCACCGTGACCGTCCATAAAGCGCAAAACACACGCTGAAATATTCAACTGCTCGCACCGCATGTAATGATGCACGACACATAATTAGAGAGTCGGTAGACTCTCTATATATATATATAGGGATGACACGGGTGAAATCTCACGTGATCCGCGTACAAAACGACTAAAAACTCGGTGAGAATCACTCCCTAGGCCTTATAAACATACTAGCGATAGTTACGGGCCCATATCTACCTATACATGTCCCCCAAGACCTCATACGCACCTTCAGTCGTCCACGAGAGAATTCGCTCTTACACGATTTCAGGATTTTCGTGTCATCATCATATTCTTCTTCTTCTTTAAACCCGCTATCTCCTTACCAGTACCAGTTCAAGTACTGATTTTTTCACTGAAGGTCTCCAATTTCACCGGAGGTGTGCACGGACATCAAGCGATCGTTTCTTTCTTGCCGCTAGTCACTACGGTAGATCGTTGAGCTGTTCAAATGGTCGACACTGAAGAACGCCATTTGCTGCTAACTCAGCACCAGTGAGCCGCGCGCATGCGCCAGGCAGGGGCGTTGTCCAATGCGCTTGCGTGCGTGTATTCTACCAGGCGAGTTGGCAGACCTGCAGAGGAACTCTCAGCCTCCAGTACCTTTTGTAAGTAAGTGTGTACATTTCCAACTGGCTAGCTTGCTGTTGGTTTGCACGAAAAGCAACTTGCCAGAGTCTGCGCTGTGTTACGCCAGCCGCGGGGCACTCAGTCAAATGGGCCTTCAGCCTGCCCATGAAACCACAACCATGTGCAATAATCTAATTACATCCTTGTTGAAGACAAAACATGAGGTGGACGCTGTATCTAGCCCCTACTAGCAGCCCCATTAGCTACTACATTCACATTTTGTCATATCTACAACATACCCATGAACCTCAGAGTAAATGCAGTGTTGTCATAAGCAGTTAAAAATAGTGGAAACAAGTGGAAAAATCATTTCTTCAAAATGAAAGGGGGATATAGGGATGGCTTGAAGCACCAAAAAGGAAGAAACAAGGGGTCATTACACCATCCCTATATCTTTGTTCGATATTAAACTTTGCTTATAAACAATAAAACAAAGATATAGGGATGGTGTCATGTAGCTTTGTGCAACTTTGCTGTGTAATGACCCCTTGTTTCTTCCTTTTTGGTGCTTCAAGCCATCCCCCTTTCATTTTGAAGAAAAGATTTTTCCACTTGTATAACATACATTGTTCACACTCTTTTTGTAAAAGTACTAGCTACTGGGTCATACCTGCCACAGTTATGCTAGAAAAAGCATTAGACGGCTTGTTATTAGCCACAGTACATGTGTATTCTCCAGCAAACATCACAGTCAGAGTGTGTGTGTACTGTGCAGTCACTGGGTCATTTAACACAGTCTGGGTTCCTTGGGTGACAGTGGTGGAGTCTCTGGTCCAAGTGACAGTGGTAGCAGGTCCACCAGTAGAGATACAGGTGAGGGTTTGTGTGCTCGGATCATACGTCACACCTCCAGCAATTGAAACATCACCTTTAACACAAGTGTCGCATGTTATACCAATCTACTACATGCAGTCCTTGCACAACAAATTGTTTGGTGTTTCTCAATGTCAAATCAGGTAAAGACACACATTGTCTTTCAGGGAACATATCATGCAACTTCGTCTTTTTGCATGTAGCGGTCAAGAATATTTAGCAGACAACACACCTCCACTGGCAGTATACAGTCCCACATAGACCGTGTCTCTCACTGAGATGTCAGTGTTATCATAGACAGCAGTAGTTGGAATATCACAGCGATAGATACCAACTGGTGAGGTAGCATTGTTCCTACGACGTAGATCAACTCTCTGAGAACCACGGCTCTCAAAGATATAAGTAGAGAATGGCAGTCTAGTTCCATTAGGGAAATACCAGTCTCCACGATAAGGACCATCAGTACCACTACAACATGTGCCCAGGTCAGTGATACACTGAACACTGTCACTACCACTGGGATCATCCCCCACTAGACTGAGGTCCACATAGGAATGGTTGGCCAGAGTCTGACCCATGAAGGAGACGAAAGGAAAGGTCTGGCAGTACACCAGAGACCAGAACAAGCCCAGGAACAACAGAACAGCTAGAGCCATTTTCCAAGAACTAGTCTAGCTATCACAATTTAAAGCTATCTGCTGTTACAGAGGTTTACAATAATATTAGGCCTGACTTACATCCGTAAGAGAGTGGCTAAAATAGCAATGCTCTGCATGTCCTACACAAACATAATGTATTCCACAGTGGATGAGCCCCAGAGGAACTGGGTCTATTGTTGCATTGACTGTCATAAGAAAACATCTCAGAGTAAACCAAGGACTACAATAATAGCCATAGCTGTCTTAGAAATCCCATAATTTATTTTTACTCATTGTGGTAGGTACATATTGCTAGGCAGGTGGCTAAATAAGTTAATGCTCATTTACACTGTCATGGACAGATCTATTCCAACTCTATTTATTCTATGCCAAGTCTGGTTAACACATTAGTAACATACCTCCACTGGCAGTATACAGTCCCACATAGACTGCGTCTCTCACTGATCTGTCAGTATCATCATGGACAGCATCAGTTGGAATACCACAGCGATAGATACCAGCAGTTGGTGAGTTAACATCACGGCTACGACGTAAGTCAACTCCCTGAGATAGACGATCCTCATAGGTATCAATATTGGGTGCAGTAAAAGGCAGTTTAGTTCCATTAGGGAAATACCAGTCTCCACGATGATGACCATTTGCAAAACGACAACATGTGGCCAGGTCAGTGATACACTGAACACTGTCACTACCACTGGGATCACCCCCCACTAGACTAAGGTCCACGTAGGAATGGTTGGCCAGAGTCCGGCTCATGAAGGAGACATAAGGAAAGGTCTGGCAGTAGACTTCTCCCACAGACCAGAACAACAACAGCCATAGCAAAGATATCACAGCCATGTTTTCTCTACTCACACATTCACTGCTGAATCACGAGATGAAAGGAAGTATTAATTATCACCACTAACTACTATCTATACCCACATTATATGGAGAGGGTAATGCTTTATGTCATCTCATAGATTACTCCTAACAAGATACGACCAGCAAAACGGAAGTATTGATTACCCTAAAATTAATCATCTTTTCATCCACAGGAAAGAGGATATGAATTACCACAGATGTCACAAATATCTCCATGATAACACAAAACAACTAAAAAAATACCACTGTTTTAGTTCTAGTGTTTAGTTAAGTGTTGTTTTTTCTTCTCATTTTCAGTTATGTATCTAAACTACATCTAAAAGTTCACAGCATACACAAAAACTCTATGACTATAGCTTTCAAGGTTCATAGTGATGTGTTGTCCTGGTCAACCTGAAGAGAGAGGACAGCCTCCAAGAGAACATATCTCCTCTCCCAGGTTTCTCAGAGCACTGTGCCTGAGTGATCCTGTCTCCTAGTCCCGGCTCATGCCTGGTACCACCAGTCTCACACTCTTCTTCATCGAGACTGGAGATAGAGGTGGGGCAGGAGGGACTCACCCTCACCAGCAGACCATTGAGAATAGGGGAGGGACCCGTGGAAACCCAACTCTGAATAATGCCCTACCAGATGTTTGTTCTACAATAACCAGGACTCAGGTATGACCTTACACAACACAACTTTCACTAGCCTGTCTTACATTCGCATCAGCAATTCCAGTTCGAATGGTCTTAGTTTGTACGATGCAAGGCACACCGATATCTATTTCATGACTGTAATAAAAGTGGAGAAAGTGGGATGAAGTACATAAACCCATTGGCTACTAGTATCAGCTTTCTTGAAGTTCACAACTCTGTTTCCAATGGAATAGTCTTTCAAAACTCAAGGCGAACAATAGTGATTTTCACGGGTCAGACAGAATTCACATGGAGTTTGGTGCAAAACACACAAACATATCCTACACTTCTGTAAGTTATGCTAAAAACAGGGGAATTTACGTGAAATGCTATTAACACTGAGATCGCCCAGTGTTAGATAGACGGTGCAACGAAAGGAGGAATTGTACTGAGGAAGACATATATTATAGTGTTTGAAGTGTCTGTAAATGGCACTTGGTCAGATGGAATCCAGCTGGAGAGAGCACGGCACACTCTTTTCTCAAGTGTTTCAGTTAGCAATGCCAATGGGAGTGGGATTGCAGTAATGGGCTCCAATCGCACTGCAATACACAGCAGTGTTGTGTATGGCGTAACTGGCAACGGAATCGAATTTAGGAGCACACTGCGAGCACTTGCGTCTCAGATGTTCATTGAGGGAGTGGGTCAGAGAGAAATAGTAGTGAGTGATGCAGTTCAGACGCTATAAAGTAACCAACAGCACAGTAAACAGCACTGGGGGGGTCAGGAATGGAATTAATTAATGTGGGGACGACCACCATACTCCACAATACTGTGACCAATTCAGGAGCTGTTGCAATAGACATTGACAAGGCTCGAGGTACTACGGTCAATTTCAACACTGTCGTCAACTCTGTGTCAGGGATTACACTCTGCAATGCTGTGATCACGAGCCTGGTCCAGAGTAGGGTGGTGGTTGCCAGAGCAGAGTGTTTTGATCAATGTGATACTTCTTTGCAGGTGTTGTGTCTTTAGGACTGCGCTTAGTTACATATAACTGCAATCTTTAGCCACTTGTAGCAGTCAAAAACAAATGTCACTACATGACTAACAAGTACAAGACAAAATAGCTGTAGGTAGGGGTTACGTCAATTCACACCCTAATAAACCCCCTCAGACCCAGATGGTGGCTGGGTGTACTGAGGATTCTCATACTCTCCTTCAGTCTCTGCTGGTTTCCCATGAGGACCACTCATACCATACGCTGGGCTGGCCCCTGTAGCCATATCTCCCTTGACCTCAGCTGGTCTGTAACATAGTGTAGAGAGCATGGCTGAATGACAGACACTGGGTGATGGTACCTGTGTCTTTTGACAATAACTGCTCCACCGATGAGTCCAGAGACACCCACTGCTACACCAAGTAGGCCTATCACCACTCCAACAATCATACCAGTTGAACCACATGACTGGACACTACCAGCAGATTCACAACTACACACTTTACCTGTCATAATAGGAGCAATGGCAATATCATTAAAGCAACTGATAATAATATACATTGGTGTGTCATTGTTGTCACAGGGTCAGAGTAGAGTCCAACATCTCCATTCTCATTCACAGCACCTACTGATATGGAGTAGTTTGTGGAGCGAGTCAGTCCAGTCAGAGTAACTCGTCCTCCACTCCTCCAGTCTTCACCATCTCCCAGAGTATAGTCTCTAGTCTCAGTCGTGGAATAAGTCTCATATTGAACTCTGTACTGAGTGATTTGACCATTGACCAGTCTACAGTTGGAGAGGCCACTCCACTGGACAGAGATCTCAGTGGAGCTCTCAGCCTCTGCTCTCACATCCCCAGGAGCCTCTCTTGCACCTGTACATACACATACAGACATACACACAGACTGTGAGACCACAATCCTCAGTGGGTCTCACTTGTCTGTGGTGTTAGAACTCTCCTGGTCTCACTGGGTCGACTGGTACCTCGAACATCACTGACTGCCTCCACAGTCACCTCATATGTGGTGTAGGCTCTCAACTATCAGTCACTGTTGACCCCACATCTCCTCCTACAGCAATACTGACAGTAGTGGAGGGAACATCCACTGTCAGAGTGGCAGTATGAGAGTCAGTAGAACATAGTCCCTGCTGATTGGTTCCCTGAGCCATGGAGAATGTGACAGTATATCTGTCAACATCATCCACTCCCCCCCAGGACACAGTGACTGCGGATGATTCTGCAGCAGTCAACACACCTTCAGGAGTGTCAGGAGATGCTGTGTAAGAGATGTAAAGAGAGAGGAAGGGAATGGTAAGAGTAAACTGCAGTTGTATATAACCACTCACCCAGTGTAATATTCATCTCCTCCGATACTCCAGGTAGCATGTTGCTGGCAATAGCCGCAATTGAAAAGGTGTATGTCTCTCCGTTAGTGAGATCATTGATTGGAGTACTGGTGGAGCCTTGACTAACAGTCATAGTCCCATCACCGCCATTACCACTGGCAAGACGGTAGCGAACTGTGTATCCATTCACCGCGGCTTCTGGTGGTGGGGTCCACATCACCACGACAGTGGTAAGAGCAGTTTGCATTAGTCCAGTGATGGTTGAAGCAGCAGCTGTAGCATAATGTAAGACAATCTACAGACTCAGTCCACACCATGACGAGTGTTTACCTCTCAAAGTCACACTGCTAAAGTGTGATGCAAAGTTAGTGACATTGCACTGGAATACATCTCCAACCATGCCACTGGATATGACTTCTGTCCTGGCAGTGTACCTGTCATTACTCAGAAACTCTGGAGTACCAATTGGCTGTATGTTGGTACTGATGTCAGAGTTGTATCCATTAGGTCCAGAGACGGCCATGTTGAGAGCTCTACCACCAGTGGAGTTACACCTCACTCTGAATGTCAATGTTCCTGCCTCCACCTCAATAGCTGCAGTTACCTCAGTGACTGGAGGAGAGGAATCATACAAGAATATCTCTCACTATAATTATATATCATCACGAGAGATGGCTACTCACTGGGGTAGAGGACGTACAGTCCTAATACAGGGTTAGTGTCATTAATCATATGACAGTTGATATACCCTTCCTGTGGAGTTTCCCTCCTTCTCCACAAGTAGTGTACTCTATAACCACCTTCGACTACTCTCCTTCCACTCCATCCTCGAGTTACACAACAACTTGATAAACTAGTAAACCCTATGTACTCTGGTTCTGGCCAAACACAAGGGATTGGAGTATCTCCATCACCAACATGACATACATAAGTAAGACTGACTTCAGAGACAGACCGTTCAGACTGACACCTCATAGCTCTACTGAAATCACTATTTGAATTCACAAACTCAAAGTCATACACACTGATCCTCGTCATGCTGTCATTAGAAACGGATATTTGACCATTATTCACAGTTATAGTCAGTCCTGTGGAGAGATGACAGAAACGAACAACGAAATTCAGCCGCTGACAGGCAACACTAATAATTATTTTCAGGTTATGGAGGAAGAATCACAGTAGAGAAAAACAACTAGCGATTTCTTCCCGCCGATCCAGAGTCACAGACCTTACCTTCCACTGTCAGTGTCATCCAACTACACAGACACAGCAGAGCAGCTAGCAGGAGCCGTGGCCGGGAGCAGCTTACCACTAGCATTTTCCACACAGCTAGAGGACCTCGCACTGTGAGGCGTGAGCGCGAGTTTTACTACTCACAGCAGTGCCCCGTCACATACAGTCAGAGCATAAGGCCTCATTGCGTTTCCTCCAACACGATTAGCAAGAGGATTATTGGGACCATGGTTATGAAAATATTTCTTTGTCCTTGGTATTATTGTTTTCATTCATGATTTGGTCCTGAGAGGCAAACATGCGGTGGGCTTACATATCACTAATGCAAACCCAGAATAAGCAAAAACATGTCAGTCCAAACACATGTCACAACAAGCATGAGGATGCAGTATTATTTTGAACCAATGATGAGCAGGGATATAGTCTTCTTTAGACCCTGCTGGTTTGTTCTATGACACGTTTTCCAGTTAGAAAACTAGATGGCATACAGTCACACAATACTTGCACTTTTTATAAAAGGCCCACACAGAATGCTACATGGACTAAAAACATACACTAATAGTGTTTACTAAGAAGCTGTATGTAGGGGTTATGTCAATAAACACACACATAAATCCCCTCTGCCCCAGATGGTGGCTCGGGGTACTGAGGAATATCATACTCTCCTTCAGTCTCTGCTGGTTTCCCATGAGAACCACTCATACTATACGCAAGGTTAGCCCCTGTAGCCATATCTCCCTTGACCTCAGCTGGTCTGTAACACAGTGTAGAGAGCATGACTGAATAGGCATATAATAAAGACACTAGTGGTAATGTATACCTGCGTCTTTTGACAATAACTGCTCCACCGATGAGTCCAGAGACACCCACTGCTACACCAAGTAGGCCTATCACCACTCCAACAATCATACCAGTTGAACCAGATGACTGGAGACTATCAGCAGATTCACAACTACACACTTTACCTGTCATCATAGGAGCAATGGCAATATCATTAAAGCAAGTGATAAATATATACATTGATGTGTCATTGTTGTCACAGGGTCAGAGTCCAGTCCAGAGTCAGTCCAACATCTCCATTCTCATTCACTGCAGCTACTGATATGGAGTAGTTTGTGGAGCTACTCAGTCCAGTCAGAGTAACTCGTACTCCACTCCTCCAGTCTTCACCATCTCCCAGAGTATAGTCTCTAGTCTCAGTCGTGCAACAAGTCACATATTGAACTCTGTACTTAGTGATTCGACCATTGACCAGTCTACAGTTGGAGAGGCCACTCCACTGGACAGAGATCTCAGTGGAGCTCTCAGCCTCTGCTATCACATCCCCAGGAGCCTCTCTTGCACCTGTACATACACATAGACATATACACAGACTGTGAGACCACAATCCCCAGTGGGTCTCACTTGTCTGTAGTGTTAAAACTCTCCTGGTCTCACTGGGTAGACTGGTACCTCGAATATCACCGACTGCCTCCACAGTCACCTCATATGTGGTGTAGGCTCTCAACTCATCAGTCACTGTTGACCCCACATCTCCTCCTACAGCAATACTGACAGTAGTGGAGGGAACATCCACTGTCAGAGTGGCAGTATGAGAGTCAGTAGGACACAGTCTGTCCTGATTGGTTCCCTGCACCATGGAGAATGTGACAGTATATCTGTTAGCATCTTCCACTGACACAGTGACTGCGGATGATTCTGCAGCAGTCATCACATCTTTAGGAGTGTCAGGAGATGCTGTGTAAGAGAGAGAGAGAGAGGAAGGGAATGGTAAGAGTAAACTGCAGTTGTAACCACTCACCCAGTGTAATAGTCATCTCCTCCGATACTGCAGGTAGCATGTTGCTGGTGGTAACCTCTACTGAGAAGGTGTAGGTCCTTCCATTAGTGAGACCAGAGATGACTCTAGTTGTAGAGCTCATAATATCAGTCATAGTCACACTTCCACCAGAAAAAGAGTAGCGGACTCTGTAGTCAGTTATTGAGGTTTCAGATGGTGCAGTTCATGTCTATATTATTATGGTGCAGTCCATGTCACTCTGACGGCAGTGGGAGATGTTTGAACCAGTGGATCAAGGATTGGAGCTGTAGCAACTGTAGAAGCAGTAATAGAAAGGGATTGTTCTTCAGCAATTTCCTTTTGAAGCTCTCTAAGGTAGACTCCTGGCCTCCTCAAGACTGTGTGTGCAACTGAAAATTGAACAGCAGGGGTGATTTTGTAAGAGGGTCTGCAGGGATATGCTTTCTTCTGCACAACACCAGTTTGTCTAAAAAGTTTGACAACTCTCCAGACTGTCACGGCATCTACACCAAGGTTAGCAGCTATTTCTGAAAATTTTAGACCCAACGCTTGACTCTGCCAGACCATCCTCCACCGCATATGTCACTGTAAGCGGGCGTACGCTTGCTCTCGTATGAAGCCATGGATGGCTCTGAAAATTCAAATTGTGCGCATGTGCAAATCTTTTATTGCAAGTTTCGCGCAAACCGCTGTACGTGTGTGTGTGTGTGTCCATGTGTCCGCACGTCCGTCCGTCCACCGGTAACCGCGGCAATTCTGAGCGTGAAACGTGAACATACTAGTAAGCGAATGCTGCCTAGGTGAAGTATTAAACATTCACCACTCAGGGATACAAGTAACCAACACCCTTATAGAGTCCAAGGGGAGTTTAATTAAAAGGAATGTGGCAGTATAAGTGTTACTAAAAATAACAGGGACACGGTGAAAGAATGCTTGCTTTAGTAACCTTTAGCCCCTATAAGAGTAGCACACCAGGCAACAATATGAGGGTTGTGTGATGGGGTTGGGGGTGTCAGCGTATTCAAATCTGTTTATTAACCATGCTTCATGTATCCCATCCTTATCTTGTCTCCCTTTCTTTTTATACCATCCCTATATGCCTCTTTTTTAAATTCGCAGGATTTTTAATTTACTTTTATATACTCTTTCAAAACTCAAGGCGAACAATAGTGATTTTCACGGGTATTGTTAACTGCTCAGGCGTAATTCACATGGAGTTTGGTGCAAAACACACGAACATATCCTACACTCCTGTTAGGTATGCTAAAAACAGGGGAATTTACGTGAGCAATGCTATTAACACTGAGATCGCCCAGTGTCAGATAGATGGTGCAACGAAAGGAGGAGTTGTACTGAGGAAGACAGTGAAAACTATAGTGTTTGAGGTGTCTGTAAATGGCACTTGGTCAGATGGAATCCAGCTGGAGAGAGTACGGCACACTCTTTTCTCAAGTGTTTCAGTTAGCAATGCCAACGGGAGTGGAATTGCAGTAATGGGCTCCAATCGCACCGCAATACGCAGCAGTGTTGTGTATGGCGTTGAGTGATGCAGTTCAGACGCTATAAAGTAACCAACAGTACAGTAAACAGCACTGGGGGGGTCAGGAATGGAATTAATTAATGTGGGGACGACCACCATACTCCACAATATTGTGACCAATTCAGGAGCTGTTGGAATCGGCATTGACAAGGCTCGAGGTACTACGGTCAATTTCTACACTGTCGTCAACTCTGTGTCAGGGATTAAACTCTGCAATGCTCTGATCACTGGCCTAGTCCAGAGTAGGGTGGTGGGTGCCGAAGCTGATTGTTTTGATCAATGTGGGGAAACAGACACTTCTTTGCAGGTGCTGTGTCTTGAGGACGGCGCTTATAGTTGCATGTAACTGCAATCTTGGTTAAAGTTTTACAGTAGCAATGTATTACTGATGTGTGTGAACGCAATGCAACAGAGGGCAAAATAATTGTATGATGTCCTGGATTTGGGGTTAAACAATGTCAATCATGAGGAATGCCAGGTAAAGCAACTGAGACCATATTTACACTGCACTGTTAGCACAGAGAGTCCACAGGGGTCAGATAACAAACTGTGCATTGTGAAAGGTCAGCTGCAGACAGTTCAACTGTAGCGCGTAACGCATTGTCGCGCAGGGTGTTGCGTTTGCGCATGCGCGCGCCACCGTGCGCGGGCGCTGCGACGCACCGGCCGGTGCGGTAGTAGTGTGTGGTGGAGCGCAGAGCGGCGGGCTCTCTAACCCCGCCTGCTGAATAGCGGAAATTGGGGGAAATTATGACCATGAGAAAGTGACAGTAATTTCCGCTATTCAGCAGGCAATTTGTGACTGGCATGCAGTGCACAGGTCAGTTTTTTACGACACTTGCCTTGCACGGCTCATGCCACAGTTTCTTAAATTAAGAAGGTTCATGGATGAACAGTACATGAACAATGTGGGTCCACAAAACACCAGTGTGCCTGTGCAGTAACCAACCATATCCAGACAAATCTCAGCAGTGGTAAATAAAGTTGATACAGTCACAATAGTGGTAAGGTATATAGAGAGAAATGGATTGGGGTAAGGCTGAAACTAAACACTATAGCTTTATGCCTAGCTACTGTTAGCTACATAGCACATAATCATGGTGAACCACAGATGTCAGCCAATTTCTTTTGGGCCCTCTTTCTCTTCTCTCTTTGAGATCGTATTGATGCCGTAAACTTTTGAGGGGTGGTTGTGTAGATGGATGGCTGTTGGTTTAGAGTACTATGTTTCTGGTCTAAGAAAATAGAACACTGTCTCCGGAAACAGCCTAGCCTGAAGAACTCAGTCTCTGAGTGTGCCCACTCATACCCATACTGCTGCATTGGGAAAAGAAAGCTACTATAATGTGTGGGTGGATATCAGAGTATATACACATAATTTTATCTGCGAACACAAGTTCCCATTGTAAAGGGCGGATTTCTGTGTATATAAAGACTGCTGTTGTTTGTGCAGTTTGCAAGTGATGTATCTGTACAGTTCAAGGATGAATGTTGGTATCTTGTCCTTGGTGCTGTGTCTGGCCCTATTGGTCTCATCCACTGGTGCAGCTACTGGCTCCCAACAAGTCAACTATGTTACTCCAACCTCGCCTGCTGGTATCTCCTGTCCCGGACAGCCCTGCCTGACTCTGGACCAGTATATTACCAGCTCCAGTACTTACATCGTCTCCAACACAGATTTCAAACTTCTCCCTGGAATACACCACATCACCAGGACTTTTGTCACACGAAACATTGAGTGCATCACCATTGAGGGCGACACTTGTGGAAAGTCAAACTCTCGAGTACAAATCAGTGGATATTCTCTGCAGTTTATCAACACTGTTGATGTTTACATTATTGGAATAAAAGCAAACTAACTGCAGTTCTCGGGCCATCAACAACCACCTGATGAAGAGTGACATTTTGTGTGCCTTCAAAGGATATACCTACATTTTTCAGTTCAATTCCAGCGATGTAAACATCAACAGTGTCGATAAACTGCATCAGATAACGTGAGCTACTAATCTGCACTTGAGGGTTTGATTTTCTTTCAATGTCTCCTTCGAGGGTGATGCACTCAATATTTCGTGCGACAAAAGACCTGGTGATGACGTGTATTCCAGGGAGAAGTTTGAAGACTGTGTTGGAGATGATGTAGGTACTGGAGCTGGTAATATACTGGTCCAGAGTCAGGCAGGGCTGTCCGGGACAGGGTACACCAGCAGGCGACGTAGAGGTCACATAGTTGATTTGCTGAGAGCCAGTCACTATGTCATCAATAATAATTGTTTCATCACCGGATCCTGGGGCTTGAGGAGGTAACAAGTTTGGTGGTGCTGAGCTACACATGTCCTTGTTGTTACAGCCACAGTTTAAGTTGGGAGGTGTTTGAACAGTACAGGGTGTATCTGTATACCGGCAATCCAGCCTGCTCCAGCGGGCATTTGTGATGTTTGTTCCAATCACTCTAGCTTGGGTACTGTTGCGGATCTCTATACCACTCCAACCTGTCTCGTTCACTAGTGAGCAATTAACTGTGGTTTGGGAAGAATTGAAAATCTCGATTCCATTCCATCCTGTGCTGTTAACAGTTGAACAAGATGTCACCGTAAAGTTTGCCTGTCGTATTTCAATTCCGTTCCAACCTGTTTCATTCACAAACATATCAGTAACTTTTGTTGTGGAAGCATTAAATATCTCGATTCCATTCCAACCTGTGCTGTTTACAATAGAACATGATATGAATGTAGAATTTGTCTGTCGTAGTTCAATTCCATTCCACCGAGTGCTATTGATGCCCAAGGTATACAATATTCCAGTTTTTGATGTGTTGAAGAAGTCAAATCCATTCCATCCGGTGTTATTCACAGTGGTGTTACATATGCTGGTATTATGTGTGTTTCGCAGAGTCAACGCTGTCCAGCCGGTATTCTTCAAGATGCAGCAAGATATGTTGGTATCTATGGTGTTAAGCAAACTAACTGCAGTTCTGGGGCCATCAACAACCACCTGATGAAGAGTGACATTTTCTGTGCCTTTGAGAGATATACCTACATCAATCAGTTTTATTCCAATAATGTAAACATCAACAGTGTTGATAAACTGCAGAGAATATCCACTGATTTGTACTCGAGAGTTTGACTTTCCAATAGTGTCGCCCTCAATGGTGATGCACTCAATGTTTCGTGCAACAAAAGACCTGGTGATGACGTGTATTCCAGGGAGAAGTTTGAAGACTGTGTTGGAGATGATGTAGGTACTGGAGCTGGTAATATACTGGTCCAGAGTCAGGCAGGGCTGTCCGGGACAGGAGATACCAGCAGGCGATGTTGGAGTCACATAGTTGACTTGTTGGG